AAAAAAAATCCACATAATCATCTTTTACATGATGGATTTTCCACCTAAAATTAAAAATGTAAAATAATCAATCACTTAGTGGAAAAATTAGCTATATCAGCACTTAACTGATGGAAAGATGAAATTGATACTGAAAATTGAAGTTGAAGGATGTTTTTGATACTTTCTGAAGTTTAAGGATGAATTGGTTCAAAAATAAAAGTTGATGGACCAATTCAGGTATTTAACCTCAAAAAATATGTTAGCAACCTCAATATCACCACCCAATTAATCCTTAAATAGAAAAAGTTGAAAATTGATATCTTTTAATAGAAAAAGTTAAAAATTGACATTCTTATTTAGAAAAAATTAAAAGTTGACATTCTTATCTAGAAACTAATAAAATTAATATCTTTAAATAGAAACAAATATAAAGTTAACATTCTTATTTACACTTTTACTCTCGAAACTAGCCTCAAAGGTGGCTTAACTCTGTTTTTGATTCTCATGCGCTTGCATCGAAGAAGATCAGCTTTATTTCGCCACTAGGTAATTCTAACATGTTGGATTTTCATTAAATCGGAATTCATTTCTGTTTTCCACCTTAATTATGTGATCATTGTAATTTATTAATTTCTTTGCATAGGAAAGTTGAGGTGTTTTGGTTTTGGGTGTACACTTATTATTTCCTGCAATAAAAACACATTCCTTAAAAACTCTCACAAGAAAACCACCCATCATTTGTTTTGAAGATTCTTGTATTTATTATATGTCCTTGTTTGTCTCTTTGGCTAGATATTTTCCCTAATATTGTCTGTTGGGTGACCGTAAAACCCTTTCAAACAACTGTATTCTGGCAGCCCTGGACCCCGGCGGCAACCCAATGGAATGTCTATGTGCTGAATAAAATTACCACTACACTTCATTGGTTAAAACCTCAATTTAGTCCCTCTATTATGTAAAAAAATCTCTTTTTAAGCCCTCTACTTAAGAAAACCTCATTTTTGATATCTAAAATTTAAAAGCTGACCCCCTTTTAATTCATCTATTAAGTTTTGAAGTTAAATGATGAAAATTTTAAAATGAAGAAAAAAAATGGCTTTTTGTGAAAGTAAAGGGACCAAAAAAGTCCCTTTTTGGTCATAATTTGAAATCTTTGTTATCTAATGTGTCATGTGTGTAAAACTTAACGAAAAAACGAAAAAATTAAAAAGGATAAGATTTCAAACTTTAGGATAAAAAATGGGCTTTTTTAAGTAGATGGACCTAAAAGGGCTTTTTTTTTTATAAGTAAAATGACTTAAATGGGACTTTTTAATTTTTTAAATATAAATTTTAAATAAAAATTTAATATATTATACAAATGATAATTAAAATTTTTTAATCAAATAAAATTACTCAATAAAAATAACATATAGAAAAAAGAAAATTTTCAATTGTAATTCATATAGATAATTAAGTTTTTCATTTAAAATTATATATATATATATAATATAAAAAGTCAAATTAAGATTACTAGAATTAAATGAGAGAGTACTAAATTAGGTAGCAAATCATGAGAGAAAATATGTAGATGAGAATTCAAATTTTGTAATTTTTTTATTTAAGGATGTTAATTTCTTTTATTTCTAAATAAGGAAGTAAATATTTAAGGATATCAATTTTATATTTTTTCTATTTAAGAATTAATTAAATGGTGATACTGATGT